TCAGCAGGATCTCCCTGTCTTTCAAGGAACGCAGATGCTCATCCCTAGATTGCAAGAAGACATGGCCACTCACATCTCATGGCTGAAAACCCTCTCAACACCTAAGCCAATGGTATGCCACTAATGGCAAAGAGCTGAAGCAACCCTTTTAATCATGGCTGAAAACCCTCTCAACACCTAAGCCAACGGTATGCCACTAATTGCAAAGAGCTGAAGCAACCCTTTTACACAATGGATAAGATTTCAGAATTTTCCTCTGCTTGGGGAGAAATGAATTTGTTATCTTCCAAGAGTACCTGGTTTTAATTACTACGCTGTGAGACATGCTGGGCTGCATTCACCTGCCCTTGTTGAAGCTGTTCTTACTGTTCCACTGGTTCACTGAACAGTGAAATATTTGCTAGGCAAGAGACAGAATATGGCAATAGACTGATATTCCAAGTTGAGATCTGGAAGCAGAAAAAGATCTGACCTCTAAATGAATGGCTAAATGTTGCCTGTCTTGTCTACATAAGGAAGTTTCTCACTCAGCACTCTTCTAGTCCTGTCCTGGGCGGTACCAAGCTCCTCCAAGGCAAGATAATACCTTCTAGATTTGTAATTACTGCCCGAGTATCAGAGGAACATTTTTTACTTCACCAAGTCCACAGAGCAGACTCCCACTCCCCCAAGAGTTTTTACACTGCATCCAGATAAGGCTTTCTTCTGTGAATAAAGCATACATTAGTGTCCTTTAGACTGCACCTCTTTAACATGAGGATCAGGAACGCCCTTAGGACCCTTGCCTCTTTCCAGACACAGCTCTGTACACTAGGCAGCCAACACACCCATACCCGACACTGCAGTCTTTCTTATTTATAGGCTTTCTCTGCTACTGAAAACTCCAATGCAGAATGTTCTGCAAACTCCTAACTTATTTCCAGATATAATTCAAAACAAGTTCAAACAGCTTGCTCAAAGGACCTTCAGGGAAGGAGATAAGATTACTGCTGAGTTCTGCATTTTTAATCTCAGAACTCTGTAATCCCACTTTCTGTATATCTACTATTATAATTTTAACAACATAGACAAAGGAAATACTATACCTATTTTACAGTTATAAAGAAGGAAAAGAATACTAGTATGAAACAAGAAGCTTTTATGAAACAAGTGTTCTGGGAAAAGCACACTGAGTTCCAGATCCTGGTCCTTAAAGCCTCCTGCCTAAGAAGCCTACTCTAGGACCCCAAGATCTTACTTCAGAAGGACTTGCTCTCTGGTGGTGTGTACTTCTTCACTGAGCATCAAAACAGGGTAGGTGGAGATTGTAGTCTAGCAGACATGTTTGGTGACTGGAATTCTGCAGTAATTCACAGAATCTCTCAGAGCCCAAGCAGCAGCAGTCTAACTGCCTCTGGACTCCCGAGCATACCTTACCCAGTAAGGAAAAGCTGCCTGGATGCGTGTATATGCACATTAAGAGAGAGACAGCATTCAAATGAGGATTAGTAGATAAGAGAAATGACACTGGTTACCTGGGACAGGTGCTTGGTGTAGAACACAGGTCAGAAACTGTTGACATTTTGGTAGTATCTACACCCAGTGCTTGCATATATTTGGAGAGACTTTGATCCACCGAATGTCTATAATGAATAATTCTTCAAATAGCTAAATCTAGAAGATGATACCAGAAAATACATGGTACTTACCACTGTGAGAATTTAGGTGCATTTCCAGAGCTCTTGCATTAGAAAAACTTTTGGTGCACTGCGGAAAGGGGCAGACGCTGGATATCTGCTGAGCACTATCTTCGTTCTCCTCTGACAGCTGAGGCCCCTCTCTTTGCCTCCCACTGCAGTAGTACATGAGATGGGCCTGCAGGTTCCGCTCGCTTCGATACCAAATGCCACAGGATTTGCACGGGAATATGTCCTCTAGAAGCAAATATAACCAGGAGCACGTTAGTCATGGGGCACTCAGTGCCAACCAGTTAACACAGCTGGATTAATTCCCCTCACTTCCCCATTAAATGCATGTTTATTTAATAAAATATTGAAACCAGAGCCACAGTTTTATTAAAATGTCACTTTCAGGTGAGACACTGAAGGAAAGTTGTTTCTTTCAAAGGGATATTTTAAGAAGAGTTAATACAAAAAAACAACTAGAAGTTTTAGGCAAGTAATGATTTACAAAATGAAACTAAATTAATGGCTTGTTGTGAATATGCAGTACTAATTCAAGAAGTAAACTGTATTTCCAATACATCACTACTCAACAGGTGACATCTTTCAGATATGCCTTTTTTTAATGTGTGCCCAAGTGTTTCCAGCATTGGGCCTTAGAATTTTTGAGTGCTAATTGCAGATCATTCTGAAGAAAGTGTATTTTCAGAATGCTTGTGCAGTTATTACTGTAAAATGCTGTTGCTCTGATATCCAGGAGGCCAGACTAGATGATGTTTCCTTAAGATTCTACACTGTTGAATGCAATATTATACTAAGCAGCATGTTTATTTCCTGTGTTCCTCTTGTTATTAATGTTAGAATTTAAAATTTCTAATGTACTTTTGCCCTCTTGGTTTTGGTAAATTGTTACTGTTCCACTTCTCACTATGCAAAAGGGATAGTTGCTAAGAGTAATGCCATTTTTCATTGTCTTCTACCCAAAGTGTCAGCATCCTCTCTGGGGGGAAGACAACATGGAGGTTGCACAGAGTGCTTCCCAGCAGCAGAGGGAGTAGATATTTTGATCATGTACCGAAGGCTACACACTTTACTCATGTGAAGAGTAATAACGAATAATGTGTGTTTACACAAGGCAGATAGATATTTGGTTGTTAATACCCTGTCAGAAGGATGCCTACACAGTACACATTGTGTATCTGTCTCAGAAGGACAAAAGACCTGTTTGATCTTTCTGAAAGCTGAACTTGTCATCCTATCAGTAAGAACAAGGAAGAAATCCCAGCCCTTTAGGGTACATCTACACTAGTAAATTAAACAGTGACAGGGTCAAGACTAGAGCACTGGAACTTCTTGTTTATATAGTTAAATCATGAGAATGGCTTTAGTCAATTAACACCTTCCCCATTCCTGCATACAGTTCAGGATTTGCCACAAGCCTAGGATCATTCCCTGCAACTGGTTTGGACACTTCTTGCCTGTTTTTGAGACTAAGAGAGGATAAAATTATGAGTGCAGCCAGACTGTGCCAGCTGACCTCAGGATCAGAGAATGGGCAATTGCAATCAACAGGGGGTTGGAACGAGATGATCTTTAAGGTCCCTTCGAACCCAAAACATTCTATGATTCTGCCAAAACTCCCACTGACTTCAGAATGCAGAAAACTGCTAGTGATTGTAATTAACTTGGTCTTGAAGAATGGTTGGCTGCTCTGAAAATACGGCATGTGTAGCTGATGATGTAATTCATCATCGTTCATGACAATTTATGTTTAATTTCAAATATTGATGTATAGGACAACTGTTCTGTTCCAATTCTTCTGGGTGAACAAAGTTCAAGATTCCAACCCATTGCAGTGGATGAGTTTTTTATTTGTTAAATATCTACAAATGCAGCCAAAATTTACATTGCTTAGTTTGCTTCTCTGACTGCATTACTAATGCTTGCCTATTTTTCTCCCCATGGATTTGCATAAAATATTTTCATCACTACCAGTTTCTATTTTTCCATTTGCCACCGGATAATTGTGCATGAATTTAACACACAAACATTTAATGGAGCAGTTAGTATTCCAGCATATACCACTATTAAAACATTATTGATACAGCTTTCATCATCTGAAATAACCATCTCATGTGAAAGCTGACATTTCAGCATTTGGTTTTGGCTTCAAATAGTTTAAAAAAGTTGAACCATTAAGGTTTCCATAGAAGAGAAAGTCCAAAAGTAATAATAGGAAATTCTGATATGGGCAACATGTCCTATTTGAATTTATTTGATTACACTCTGTCACAGAATTGAACTTTCTGATTACCTTAATGAATAACTTTCAGCCACCTTTATTTCCTATGGACTAGATGGCCTGGACAGTCTGTAGATCCAGTTATGCATGATGAATATGACTCCCATTACGTGCCCTACAGAGGAAATGTACTGGAGGAGTTTTGCAATGTGAGAGGATGGAATTCCAGGGAGAACAATCTATAGGGATGGGATCTGAAACTATTAGTCCCCTAAAGTGATGCAAAATAGATAAAGGCCACTTGAAATTCATGTTTTAATTCTTTAAAAGCAAAATACTTCGATTTGTTTCAATGGATAGTTTCCAAATATATCAATGGATCAATTCAGGATAGAAAACATTCAAGTTCAAGCTGAATGAGCCACAGGTGATATTCTAATTTTGATTTTTCAAATAACAATGTTAGGAAACGTTAAAAAAACCCTTCTACAACACTTAATTTTTCTAGAAACTGATTTTCTTTTCAGAGATATAGCAGAATGGTTAAGAGATGTCTCACTACAAATCTAGAGGTGCGTTCAGCATATTACTGCATCTGGCTTGAGACTTCACTGAAGAAGCTAAATTTCACCAGCTCAACAATGAAATGTAGAAACAGCCCCAGCTGGTCAGAGGCAGAGTGAGAACCGAGGTGGGAAGTCCTGGACAGTGAGACTTGCTACTTTAGCAGCCTCCTGGAGTTAAGAGTACACAGGTCACTCTGAGTTGCTGCTAAGCCTGTATAGCAAGAGTTGATGCATGGTGAACTTAGAGCCTGCTCAGCAGCAGAAGTAGCAATGATCAGTGCAAATGGCAGTGCTGGCAGCAAAGGTGTTTCTAGAAATTTGATGCTGTAGAAATCTGACTAGTTTGCCAAAGCCCAGAGCTGTAGATTTGCACAAAAATACACCCTCAGCTGAAACAAGCCATGAACGAGTCATTGCCCTTTAGGCTCGGTAACCCCCTCCCTGGTGGCTCCCTTGCAGCTGTTGGCTACAAGCACTGGTCTGCCCACAACTGTGGCAACTTGGAGGTCCATTTTAGGGGCTTCTGATACCTTATTTTGGAAAGTTCCTGTACAGTGCTAATTGCTGGTTCTGTGAACAGATACATCAGCTCACATCAACCCCACTGCTAGAGTGAAAATGAATGTGCATAGCTAAAGGGCTTGAGGTTGCTTCCAACTCACTCTCTGGAAGGGGGGTCTTGGATGACTTAGACATTTTAAGGTTTATCTTTTAAAACAGGCTAATAATAATGTGTAACTATCAAGACTGTTTACCCAGAAAATAAGCAATTACAAAAAAAAAAAAGAAAAATGAAAAGATGGAATGAAAGGTATTACCACAGGTATTTTAACTAGTCCTGCCTGAAGAGCTTGACCATAGTGGCACTGCTCAAGATACAGTGCTATTCAGTGTGAGCTTGAGTGGCCGATCATGGCCCCGCGTGTGCATTCACACCTGAAATACTGTGTTCAGTAGTTCACTGTATCTAACTACAATGCTTACAAACCACGGGAAGCATGGGGAAGTGCTGCAACATATGGGGTCTAAATGCACAGCCTTGCAAAGTACTGAGAATGAAGGCTGTGCCATCGGTCTAAGTGATGACTGGTGAGGATCATGGTAACAGCTAACATATTTGGAAAATACTTAGAGAGGAGGATGAGGAACTAAGGCTGTATAAATGTAAAAAGCAGTAGTAAGAAAAAGTTAAAGAAATGAAATTTAGTAAGCAAAACATTCAAGCTGAATTGTCCCAGTTCAGGAACTGACGTGTACTCATGCCCCTCCTCTCTAAGGACAGCACTTAGTTAACTACATGCTGCATTTGGTCCATGATAGGGCCTATTGATGTCCAGAGGACACAAAAACATTCTTGGGTAGCCACACTGAGTGGAGATCCTGCAGTAAATCAGGGCTACAATAAAGCATGACCTCTGCTGCATTTTGAAACAGCCACTGAAGAGCTATGTTCTTCCTTCCATTGAGTATCATGAATTATTACCAGAAGCTGCAGCTGTAAGCAACAAGCTTACTTGAGCCACAGAGGCTGGACTTTTTGAGCCAACAGGCCTGTCTTATCTACTTTTTTAACAGCTTCTGATCCTATTGCCTCTGGGAGCAGATCACAGAACCTCCAGACGGAGGCAGGTTGGGTACTCTGGGTGAGGCTCTTGCAGAGCCCAGCTGCCAGACGGCTCTTCTTCCTCCTTTCATGCCTACAAGTTCATCCGAGATGATGGGGAAACAAAAGCAGGCTTCGAGCTGTGGGTTTTAAGTTGTGTGGTTTCTGTGGTCTTTAATTCACTATTGCTGTATCAGCTCTTCACATGTGCCTTTTAAACTACTGCTGTTTAAAAAAAAAAAAAAAAACCACCAGAGAATAGTATTCATCACTTACTGTTCACAATAGCCGTAGGCAAAATAGATGCCATTGCAGCTTGTTGAGGGAGCAATTGTATTGAGTCCAGCAGGCGTGCAGGATACATCCCTTCTGTGAGAGTCATCTGACTAGCAGCTTGCAGCCTTGAGTCAAAATCTACAACAAAGGCAATCAGCTCTTCACCCTCTGAGATGGCCTTGGTCGTGGTACACCAAAGCTGCCCTCCTACAGGAAGCATAAAAGCAGAAAGATTTAATTGACGATATCAGATTCCAGAACTTAAAACATCAGTGCCATATCTTCACACCCTTTTTAAAATTTTGATGGTTTGTTCAAGGTAAAGAGGCAAATAATTTTCACTTTTACAGTCTTCCTTCTAGAAACATGGGAATTTTCAGTGTATAAGATTAACAGTTTGGGAACACTTTTCCTAATTATTTGCAGCATGAATATTCGTTTTAATTTTTCATTTTGTCTCCTAATGAAAATTAATATATAGGTGAAAATGTTTTATATGGTATTTTTCTAATCATTAGTTTTCACCAAACTCCCTGTACACTTTTTTTAACTCCAAGTTTGTTTTATTTTGACTACCAAATCACAACACAATAACAGCTGCAAGGAAGAAATCAGATTTCCTCTTAAGGGTGTTCTTCCCCTCCCTTATGTTTGCCACCCTCTTTCTCTAAAAAATCTTCCCTTATGTAATATTCTTTGTAACATGACTGCTTTATCTCTGCTTACACTGACTGAACTTCCTGAGAAGAAGATATGCCAAAGATCTGTTTCATAAGGGCTTATTCAAATAAAGGTTTGTTTAAAAGGGGGGGAGGTGGAAGAACTTTCATCAAACAGTAAGATACACTGTAGCTCTGTGCTGCAAATGTCACGTGTAGTGCATTAAAAAGAAAATTAACTATGCGAGTACATCTACTAATGTATTTGAATGCGATAGTGAATGCTCATTTATTTAACATGTTTAGACAGGCAAAGCACTTATATTGTGTTATCTACACTCTCAGGCCTAGATACATATCCAATACAGTTATGCCTCAAATAATGTTGCATACTTTATACGTTATAAAGCTTTTTTTTTCCTCAGGTTTTTGTATATATAGAAAAAGCTATATGTTGTATTCATTAGGCAAGCGAAAACTGTACTCGTTTTGATAAGTAATATTGCTATGTTTATCTTTCGGCATAACTGCCTTTTCAACTACACTTCATTTTTTTCCCCTCAAAGAGATTATAGTTTTAAAACAACTTGTTGCAAAAATCTGGTAGAGGAGATAACAACAGTGTATGATATGCCACAGCTAAATGGAAGAATTAGGACATTGTTTTAGAGAAATCTTGGACAATTAATTAAACCAGTCTATTAGCTTTCAAAGATGAGCAAACAAAACAGCATCAGTGACAATGTGTTTCAGTGGAAAAAAAAACCAAGCCCCAAAGCTTCCAGACCTCAAAGTGGTGTGAAAGTTTCAAAGCAGAAAAGTGTCTTTGTATTCACCCTTTGGCAATATAGCAGCTGAAGGTGGCTCCAAAGTTTACAAACAGTTTACTGTGATGGCACCAAAGCATACTAAGGTTTGCTACCCTCCAAAATTACAGCATTAAGTGGTGCAAATCTGAGAAATTTCCTCTAAAGAATAAGATGACATGTGAAGATAGTGCTGAAAGCGTCTACGAATGCAGAATCCTAATGCCCAAGCAGGAATTCCAACATTTGAAGAGCACGGTCTGACTTATTGCCTGATAGAAGTCAGGAGTAAATATACAGAAGCCTTCAGAGTCAAAACGGGTATAAAACCCGTTCAAGAGAGAACCAGGCTAAATTCCTAAGGTGTACTTAATTAGTCTCGTGGATAAAAAAATGCGATACACATGCTGCAGTTTGAGAGCCTGAAACTTGGTACTCTCACTGCAAACACCACACAGTCCATTTTATGCGAGGAACAGGGTTTCCATTATTAACAGGCACTACTATTGTATTTATATACAGAAGGTGTAATAATCAACCAACACATTTTAGTATATTTTAATATAGAATAAGAGCTCTTCCTAGACTGTATTATTCACTGGATTCCTTAATAAAATATAAATGAGTCACTGCAGAAGAACCAACTGAGACTTTCTCTATCCCAGCAAACATCTTGACATGCTGTACCCTTGGGGGGAAAAAAAAAAAAAAAGAAAGTTTAGTTGATTACTGGGTCTCCAGCTGCAATCCGTCTGGATCAGCTAAAAGGCTGACTCAGCCTCCTGGTGTTAGAGCTCCTTGGGGTGTTGACTCATGTCCAGGAGCAGATTAAACTAGGACGGCTGAAGTGGGCAGTGACCTGGGCTGCCTGCTCCACCCAGATCCTGGAGGCTGTCACACCTACGGCAGGCACAGGTGAGTGGTATGTGCAACAGCTTTGGAAGCACAACCATCTCCAGCTTGGCTTGTTAAAGGAAACCAGAGCTACAGAAGGTTAATCCACTCCTGCATTTGAATACAAACCTTCAGCTCAGCAGGATTCAGATGCAAGAATTACATTGTTATTTTGTTTTCTTTCATCCCACTCTACAGAAAATGAGGCATTTAAGTGATCATGACATATATGTCCACATTTTTCATCAGTACATGCTACCGTGTTAAGTTAAATCCCCAGATGAACTCCCAAATGATGCGTGCTTCTGGCTACTGGAAATGCAGTAAGACCTCCTCTGCAGCAATACTCACCCACAGGGGCAAGACACAGTACAGGCCCCTCTTGTCCCCTTCTGTGCTCGGTGGCACAGGGTAAGGTAATAGCTGCTGTTTTGAAAGACACAAACAACTTTATTCTCCTTCATGCAGTGAATGGAAATATGCTGGCCTTCATGCACAACGGGAGAACTGGAAGAAAAGTCTTCTTGAGCCTTCTACTGCATAGCCAAGGAAATGGCATGCAGAGGACCTGGCATAGGCTTCCAAATTTAATAGGAAGTTCTGATCATGACTATCATATGAATTATTACGCTGTCTAGACACCCTTGTCAGGGATCAGGCCTTCCTTACAGGTCATGGTTTAAAAACAGGAAAAACGTTCTTGCCTCCCACAAACATTTCTGCAAGCTAGGACGCAACTGGCATATACACAGTAATTTCTCAGGACCACACCACCTTCTCATGAAGCAAAGAACAGTGTTAATGACAGATTTGCAAAAGGATAATAACTATGTCTCTAAACAGTCTTTGCCAAGTACCCGTGGCAATGGAGAAGGTGATGGGAAGATGTTTGCTTGAAATATTTGCAAAGATGTGAAGAATTCATAAAGAAATGGATTGTTACTTATATGAGATGAAGTTCTGACTAAGCTGGCTAGAAGTTTTTTAACCAGCTGTTCTTTTTGTCAGAAAAAGCTTATGGGGGTGAAATAGTTCTAACAAAGCTTTACCAGGCCAATTTTCTCAGTCCTAAGACAGATGCAGTCATCAGAAGGAGAAAGGAAGAACCTCCAGAGAAGCTCTAACAGGGATGAGTGACAGCGCCTCAGAAGTGAAGTCACGTTTATACTATTTGGTTAGAAGGCAAGACAATGATAGACTGAGATTTTAGACCTCTTCTCACCTGTAATGAGTAAAGTGGTCATCCATTTATACTGAAAAAGCTCTTACTAGTTTTACATGGTGGGGTAAGAAAAGTTTAACCTGTGTTCCAGTGCAGAAGGGAAGTTTTTTAAATACCAGAAGGCTTTGTGATGTTGGAAAGCTGTTTTCTCTCCATGTCTAGTTCTGACTGTGAAATTGAAAATAAGCTTCTTGAGCCTGCAATGTATTGTTTTATACCTATGGTTAAACCAAAGGAATTTATGTGATACATAATACATACATGCCAAGCAGAAGAAGAGAATAAAAATGTTTGCAAACACTAAGGATTTGTTTGAACTCTTTTTCTAGTTCACACCGCAAGGAATTAGAGATGCTTATTTAATCATAGAAAGTTGGGAAAGTTAAAGAATATCGTGTTGTGCAAACTAGAGCAAAAAATTACATTCCAATTGCATTGGCATGCGTTCTTTATCAAATGACATCAGGCACTGGAGCAGCTATCTGATACCTTCAGAGTTTCCACCAAATGGAAAGGTTATTTCAGGATTCTCTTCTTTGTCTGCATCTTTCACTGCAAACATCTCTGCTGCTTGAAAAAAACCCCAACACCCTTAAAAAAAATAAAAACCAAACCAACTTTCCATGCAAAGGAAAAAGTAAGGCCCTGATGTCCCTGAAAAACTGTGGACTTACTGTTCTTTGTAATGTTTATGATCAAGATTCTTGTGCAAACAGATCTGGTTCCTAACAGGAAGCTTATAAATCATACTCATAATTGCTGTCAAAACTGCAGTGGAGTGTACTGCAAGTTTCGATAATAAAGAATAGAGTCACAGTTCAAACTTGATTACATTTTGGAAATTCATGCTGCTCTTACAAGAATCAGTGGTCTTAAATATCTTCTTCTCCTGCCAAATTTTTCACTTGCACTTTTTATTATTTATGAAATCAGTGTCTGCACAATGTCATGCAGACCTCTGCTGATAAACTCTAATTAAGATTAAGACAAGCCTTTTGGAAAGGATCCCATCATTAGCAAACATGATAAACACAAAAATACTCCCTACTTGTCAACCAGGAGCAATTCAGTAACCTAACAGTATTATCTGTTGCTAGGCTACAGAGCTGACAAAGCTTCAATTATATTGTATGGCCATACCTATAGAATACTGTATAAGCAAAATGTATCTAATATAAAAGCATTTAACTTCATCCATGCTATCTATAATTCATGGCTTCTTTCAATGGCAAAAATCAGGTTAATAATTACATAGCATGCTGGAAAAATCTTAGCGATGTGTCATGTTTGCACAATTTTTTCTAATTTATCTCTATGATTGATAGACATTTGCTTTGTAAAAATAATAAAATGCGAGCAATGGGATGCTGTAAACCACAAGCGCAACTACATCTGGGCTCATCAAGATATGGAACCACACTTAGTATAAAAAATATATAGTAAATTGAACCAATTAAATCATATTTAGATGCAGTAATACTCTATCTTCTGTGTTCAGAATAAGGGGTACTGTGGTGATAGATATGCATGCTAATACAAAAGTTTATTTTATGTAGGACAGACATCTGAAATACAAGAGAAACTTGCTCTTTTTAAAAATCAGCCCTTCATTATTTCCTTGTACAT